CACATTTAATACAAATGATCCCATACGTATGATTGTATGAACTATGAAAATATCTTAAAATCATACAAATGTATTTATTTTATAAACGTTAGTCTTTAACACCTATCACTGTGTAATACCTTCAACATATTTAAAAAGTTGACCAAACCCAGCACAGCTTAGTGAAATGTTGACTTTATTTGATCATTCGAGTTAAAAATAACGTTTATATTCTGTTTTTGATTATATAATACTGATGAACGTTCAAAACAAAGCACTTTGGCAACTTACCACATACTGTACGTTTTAAAATGCTTAATAAGCACCGTAACTTTCATGATATAATTTCTCCGTCATAATCGTTTGTGTCCGTGAACGGCCGACTGTTGTGTGACGTCAAATGCTGCGGCTGCAAGGCATTGTGGGGCAGCATTTTTTCTCCCCTCCTTTCGGTTAGGGAGGTCCAGTGGTTCCTAAGCTAAAGGAGGTTATAAAGGAAGTTTGAAACCTCCTTTCCTATCATTCTAGAGAATTTGAACGGCACTTATCATGGCTGCCACTGAGGGACTTCCAGGTCATTTCACTCCGTTAGGAAGGTTCCTAAGCTAAATGGACTATTCGACTTCAGCCCAGGTCTCCGTGAGAGGAAGGAAATCCAGAGACTGCAGGGAAGCGTAGCCAGAGATGAAGTCAGCCTTAGGAACAGCTGACTGGCAGTTCCACAGGCCCCCTGAAACTAGATGTTGGATCTCAGTGGAGCATGTGGGATAGACGAGAGCAGGCCGGTTATATCGATTAGGAGATACACGGGGCCAGTGATAATTGCGAGAAGACACATGAACAGGAATGGAGAAAATACACATGATTGTAGCATGAGGGGCTAGAAAACCAAAGGGAATAAAATAAAACACCAGCGATACTGAGCTCAACTAAAGTAGGATTTGCCTCGTCTGGCTGACGCTGAAGCTGACGCTCCAGGAAAGAGCAACCTAAGATGGACACCTGATTGCTGAGTTCTCACAGCTGTGGGGGCACGCCCCTCTAATTAGTTAACTCTTTTCAGATGATGGGCGACAGCAGAGTGTTCCTGCCTATTGTAATGCAGGGTTGAGGCGCGTGACCCACTGAGACCTGTGTAACAGGTTGAGTTGAGCAGATCTGAGATTTAAAATCTCTCAAAAGCGCCGTTTTAGCTACAATAACTACAGAACAATTATACAGAGTAGAATAAATGAAACAGAGAAGTCTATTTAAACAAGAATATAACTTACAGTGATTGCTGAGTCAGTAGGTAGTGTCCTCACCCGGTGAAGATGCACACATTACATTACATTACATTTAGCTGACGCTTTTATCCAAAGCGAATTACAATGACCAATTACAGGGACATTCTCCCTGGAGTAACTAAGGGCTAAGTACCTTACTCAAGGGCACACTAGTGGTGGTGTTCCAGTTGGGATTTGAACTCACAACCTTCCGATCTCCAAACCCACCTCCCTATCCATTAGACCACCACCTACACACTGTAAAGTACAGTGTGTGTGTGTGTGTGTGTGTGTGTGTGTGTGTGTGTGTGTGTGTGTGTGTGCGCGCGCGGCGGGGGGGGACATATCCAGTCTCTGATATATAAGTCGTCATGAACACAGTTCTGTCCATCAGACAGAGTGCTGCTGTGCCTCCGGTCATCATTGATGGACGTCTCTTTAAAATGACCGCTCAGAGGAGAAGAGTTCTCATTTCTCTAACCGCCTGCTGCTTCCCCTCCTCCCCCTTTGGTTCCCCTCCGCTCGCATCTCCTATGGGCGGGACTAAGACAAAAAGGATTGGAGTCGAGGAGGGGATTAGTGAAAATGAGAAAGGGCCCCGGTATTTTCTCCGTAGAAAAATATATATTCCTGACACCTGACACAGCTCGTTATCTGTAGAGAGCAGGACTTAGGATATAGCTTTAGTACAACACAGACCAGATAAAAAGGCAGTCTTCAGTCTGCAGATACCAAACACAGTCCTAACAGAACTTAAGATTTGTATTCCTTCCTGCAGTCGAGATTAGTTTTTTGTTCTCTTCTCCAAATACTTTCTAATCACATCTGATCATCTCACTATATCCTCTGTGTGAGCACTGCAGATCCTAACACGTGAGCTGCCTGAGGGCCGACTCCTGAGAGTCAGTCACTTTTTAAACTTCCTCTGAGTCTAACATCCACGCTGTGACTCTACCTTGACGAGGATTTTGCCCCTGAGTGTTTCTGGAGACGGCAGGCGTCCAGACTCCTCGGCTTTGATGTTGGACACGTCCAGTTTGTCCCCCAGGATCTCAATCAGGTACTGTGCCATCTTCTTCTGCTGGGGAACGCTGCAGTGGTTCTCTATGGAGAGGATGACCGGGTAGCTGAGAGAAAATCACAAAACAGATGGGAGTGAGAGGCATAAAAGATTGAGGAGGAAAAGAGGGAACGGTTATTTATTTAGGAATATGTATCAGTGTTAAGATAGTATATCACAGTAAGGACATTCCAATAACACTCAGCAGGAATTAGATAACATTTATTACTTGAAAAAGGTACAACATTCTCAAAATAATCTTCAATGGAATGTCATTACAAATCTTGTTGAGTATCTGCATTTAGCACCTATAATATCTCATTTCAAGACCTTTTGATAATAATAATAATAATAATAATAATAATACATTTAATTTTGATAGCGCTTGTCCTGGTGCTCAAAGACCCATTGATGGGGTCATTCTTTATTGGTTTCAGCACCGATTCCATCTGGAAGGCCAAGGATGCTCAATAAATGATCTCTATTTATTTATTTAATGTGTTCATGTACTTAATGTATGATTAATGAACCGCCAAACAGATTGGACCCTAAGGACGGCTAAGAACTCATCAGCGCTGCAAACTGTTGTTTTACACTTCTTCATTTCTTTTGGATTAAGATTTGATAGTGAGCTGATTGGCGCTTCATTACATTTAAATGTATATGTAGCCTAAAATGCTTTGGGAATTACTCTGAACCTAAAATGTGGAAATGTCAGAGCTTGTGTCTTATATTTAACTATGCTAGCAGCACGGCTCTAGCAATAGATTGCTATTACACTTTGCACAGACATGCATGGTCCCGAGAGGATGAACTATTTTAACCTTAAACACCTTTAGGTCATGACCAAACCCCTGCAAAACTAATTACATATCCACTATTACTCTGTGTTTAGTGGTTAGCATGTTAAGCATGCTTATGTTAGCATTTAGCTCAAGCACAGACTCACACTCTCTAGTCGTAGTGGAGTTGTTCATAGTTACTTTAACTTGACCACAGCAGTAGTTACAGTTAGACTTTAGGTGTTTTGTGAATATCACTCCTGTCCTGGTGTTTAAAACAGCAAGGTGTTATATCTATCAGCAAATATATGTATGAATGAAAGCATCCTTGCCTGCCAGGTACAGTTAGAAAAGCACAGTTCTGGGTCTGAAATTAGTCTTTGATCTTCAGGGCAGCTCGTATTAATCGGAATAACATTTTTAAAGGAGAACATTTGCACAAGTGTAGATGTGATTGTCTGTAGGGTTCAGGAAACATACGTCCTTGTGACATTGACAGGGTTGTGTGATTTTTTAAATACACTTCTGCAGTCCCTATTTTGGAGGACGTTTGGGGCGTGTGCAGTTTAGGGACCCTTCAGTGCTCCTCAAGGCAACTTGGCAACTTGCAACACATTGGTTGAAGTCTTGTTATAACTTGCAAAAAGGACTGCAAAATGCTAGCTCTTTCATTTGTATATTGTGGTGGAACATTACGGGACATAATAACACACATAATTTTGTGTGTGTGTGTGTGTGTGTGTGTGTGTGTGTGTGTGTGTGTGTGTGTGTGTGTGTGTGTGTGTGTGTGTGTGTGTAGCTGCATACGCACAGGTGAGAGTAGGATTCTATTATTGTTGGTTAACACGGATACGAGAGCTCACTTACAATTACACCAGTTTCCTTCTCACAGATCTAAACCCAGTTTATCACCTGAAAGATTGTGTAGTGACGTGTTAAACACCTTTCACACAAATCAAATATAAGACAAACATATGCTGGTGTTACATATTCATGCGTCTGTTTCAGTCATATATGCACATAATGCATTTTATACAGAGTTTAAAAGGGACCTATTATGCAAAATGCACTCTGTGATGTCTTTTATACATAAATATGTGTCCCCGGTGCGTCAGGGAACTCAAAGTGTCAGAAAACACAACCCTTTCTCTAAAAAAAGTGGGGGTGCTAACAAGCAGATATAGAATATTCGCACCTATAACGTGATTGGCGACATCTGGCCGATGTGACACGTCCCAACCTATCGTCTCAGGCACACATAACATGTGGAGGCTATTTTGATATAACATTAGAAAGACTGATTCTTATTATTACATTATAAGCTTATTGTGCTCATTTATGTGGCTGTGACTTTGGAATAAATAGACGTCTTTAGCCTGCAATACAGAGTAGCAAGATCAGGTGCAGACACTGAAAGAATACAAAGAGTTATTCATAAACAGGACATCACTCCGGCCTTGAGTTGTATGTACAGCTAGGAAGCAGCACTATGAAGATTCCACTAAATCTGCAGAAAGCTTCAGAAAAAAACAATTAAGTATGATGGCGCCAGAATAGGGAGGGACTTCCACAGGCCGGCCGAATGCTGATTGGAGGATCGTGTTGCCAAGAGACTTTTTTCTAAGTCTGCGCACCTACCAAAGAGAACCAAGTCTAAACCATGGGTTGCGTTGGAATAGTCCATTTAGCTTAGGAACCTTCCTAACCGAGTGAAATGACCCGGAAGTCCCTCAGTGGCAGCCATGATAAGTGCCGTTCAAATTCTCTAGAATGATAGGAAAGGAGGTTTCAAACTTCCTTTATAACCTCCTTTAGCTTAGGAACCACTGGACGTCCCTAACCGAAAGGAGAGGAGAAAATGCTGCCCCACAATGCCTTGCAGCCGCAGCATTTGACATCACACAACAGTCGTCCGTTCACGGACACAAATGATTATGACGGAAAAATTATATCATGAAAGTTACGGTGCTTATTAAGCATTTTAAAACATATGTGGTAAGTTGCCAAAGTGCTTTGTTTTGAACGTTCATCAGTATTATAATCAAAAAGAGAAATATGAACGTTAGTTTTTACTGAAATGATCAAATAAAGGCAACATTTCACTGAGCTGTGTGGGGTTTGTTCAACTTTTAAAAGATGTTTGAATGGTGATATACACAGTGATAGGTGTTAAAGACTAACGTTTATAATAAATACATTTGTATTGATTTTAAGATATTTTCATAGTTCATACAATCATACGTATTGGGATCATTTGTATTAATGTGGACCGGAGGGAGAGGGTGACAACGAGCATAAGTTTCACTTTTCCTTTTTTATTTCAATTCCAAACGTTTTGGTCATGAAGAATATTCTCTGTTGTTCATAA